CTTGTTCATTCATTAATATCTTGGAAGATAGACTATCATAACGCAAATAAAAATCTATTGACGGCCCCAGCTGCCATTCTTGAGATAGACCACCGTTCATTTGCACAATCGACCCCTTTTCTATGGAATTCACTACCCCTGTCAGTTAATCTAGCCAAGACTGTAGACATTTTCAAATCTCAGCTTAAAACTCATCTTTTCCACTGCCTTATGCTTGTCAGTGGTGAATGAATTTGTTAAAACTTGAAAAGCGCAATAATTGAGAATTATTATTATTTATTATTAAATTGTACCACGAAGGGCCTAAGGATCGAGCAATACGTTATCTAAAGTAGCACATCTATTTAAATGGTCTTCATTCTTACAATTGTGGGTTAGGTTGCTTTTGTTTTGTTTTGCTTTTTTGGGGTTTGTTTTCTTTGGGAGGAGGGGGGGGGGTCAAAAATAATTTTGCGATATAGGAAGTTTTAAAACTATATGGGAGGCGGATCCCATCGACTATATAATGCCGATTCTTCTCTTGTTTTCCCACTCTTAATCTTTTCTCGAGTAGTCGTTTGTCATCCTCGGTATCCCCAGTGGTATCGTTCCATCCTACTCCACAATACACTGGGTACATTCACGTTGGGGGGGGGGGGGGTCATATAATCAAGTTTTTATAGAACAATCGAGTGGGCGAAGAGAAGTAACTCGCATTTTATTGCAACTACGATTGTTGTGGTGAACATAAACTGCAATCTGATTAAAACACAGATCTTTACTACACTAGGATCATCGACGTGTTCTGAATGATGTGAGGAATTAGCCAATGAAACGGTCTGTTACGGCGAGCTCTTGACGTGAGGTGCACGGAACTGTGGGTAATCCACTAGAAACATGAATGCTGATTGGTTAATCAAATGGCTGACGTCATAGTCAAAAGCCGCTAGTATGACCTCTGACGCGACCTTCCAAAACAACTGGTCGGATATTTATGTAGTGTAGGCCATCGAAAGTATAAAATAACGAAACGAAATATAGATCTGTATTTTAACCAGATTGCGTAAACTGGCATGTAAACTGTTTTTGATTGGTTCGTACAATCAAGCTACCATCATTGTCAGACAATTTGAATTCGTGAAAAACCCGTGAATGGACTATGGTTATAGTGGAGTATAACGAAACGGAACGATATCACTGGGAATACCGAGGATGAGTCGTTTATATGAACGGAGTCATACGTATAACCATAACCAGTCTGTTAACTCTGTTGTTAACGTTTTTGATTCTAGACTTATGTTTTTGAAGAATATTCATGATATAGAGTATAACATAGTTAAGAGGTTAGTTATGGTGATATGTATGACCGATAGTTTCAGAATTGTAGTGTCTAAACATGAAATTGTGATCTATCCTTTTGTGTGGAGATATGGGGGAAGACATAATGATGGTCGATTTATTGTAAAAGATTGACAAACATGTCCAGGTTATTCTAGCATAAGAATCTCAATGACATGTTACAGAATTTAAAACGGCATAATCAGGAACTCTTCAAAAAGGTTCAAAACCTCTAGAAAATCAATATTATGCACTGGGCTTATTTTAGTTGAAGTTCTACTTTTCTGAATATTAAAGATGTAAAAGCTAAATCTGCAGGTCTATTTTTAGGCTTCAAATGTTATATAAATTATTAATCAGGTATTTATGCACATGACAGTGCATATTGAATGGATTAGAATCCTCTCGCCATTTAATAATTTAACGTTAAAATGGATAATCGAGACTTTGTTTATTACCTCAGCAATAGTAATGTAATAAAGTAATTTGACTGAAATTTTCAACGTATTCATTTTTCATATAATCTTACATAATGCATCTTTAAATCAGATTTTTGAAGCAAGTATAGAAACAGACAGAAAATCAACATCCTATAGACTCCTTGCTTTATACAATTTTTAAATGTCGATAATCACAAACTAATAGGAAGGTTCAGTTACGATTTATGACCGGAGAAACAACGATTCTTAAGAATTGCGACATACAGAAATTAGTGGTAGTGACGCCCCCCCCCCCCCCCCAAAAAAAAAAAACGGTCAAGCCCTTAACAGACTTGAATGTTATTCTACATATAACGTAAATTTAACGAGTGGGGTCACGCGAAGACACCCTAATCGCTAAAGTGCGACATTAACTGACGTAATAGTAGGACTCGATTTCAGCCCATCGCTCGGACCAGCCTTATTTTTTGTACCATGAACATCCGGGTTGCTTCTAGTAAAGTATAACTTGAACATATTCTAATATTTTTCCGATTTCATGCGAGATTGCTTAACAATCTAAACCATTTCTTTTTCCTCATCTCTTCGCATTGTCACCATTCGGGATTATAGTCAGGTACTGCCTTTATCAATAGCATTATGTGAAGTTACAAGAAAATAGCTTGGTCTAAGATATATTTATAGCACGGCTTTCATGAGTTAACAGGTTTAAACATCGAGACCGCAGGTCGAGATGTTAAACCTGTTAACGAATGAAGCGTGCTATAAATGACTTGTAAGATTGACACCTGCTCAATATGCACGGTGTTATTGCACAGAAAACCCACCCCACTTCTCTATATGATTTCTACTAAAACTAGTGTAAACCAGCAAAAGAGTGCAATAACTTTGAACATGTCTAGTTAATGCACGGTTAAGTTCCACCCAATCTACAAGCGGGAAAACAATCTGTTTATTCAACGAAAAGAACAAAGGAAGATTTCCCGACCATGTTACAATTAAAGCTGTTGTCTGTATTTTTCGGACTATATCTAACTTTTAATGGCCGAATCCACGCTAGTGTGTACTCACATTAATTGATTATTGATAAACGCGTAGTAATCTCACTGCTTAGAATCTACCGGATTAAAAAGAGGTCCATCAAATGAATTTACCCAATCTTATATTCCAGACAACCGATTAGATATAGAGTCACGGTTGGCGGGAATGTAAAAAAAAAACCTTGACAGTTGCAATGCGAGGAGTAGGTTAAAACTGCACGGTGTATAGTCGCCTACATTAGTACGCTTGATGCAAAAGAATAAGACGTTAAACCCCATTTCGTTTTTATTTCCGTGGCTGAGTAGGTAAGACGCTGGCTCGCTAGCCTGTAGGTCGGGTGTTCGATCCCTGCATTGGCCGAGAAAGTTCATCCAGATTTTCCGGCGTGGTTTCCCCTTGTCAGGGATGCAGGACGGAGGGCCTGCCAAGGACAGCTATCTAGTTGTTCGGATGGGATTGGGGCGGAAAACCGAGGTCCCGTGTACATATTGGCGTGCACATAAAAGATCCCTTGGCAGTTGGAATTCGATATAAGAGTAGGCCGTAGCGCCGCTGCCCGGGCAAAATTTCCCTCATAGCACACTGTATGGCGTATGCCCGTCGTCATTAGCCCAGTTTAGGAGCAGAACAGTAGGACGTTTTTATTTCATTTCCAGTTAAATAAAATACTTAAATAAATGTTTTTATCCAACAACTATGAATGTTAAATATCTCAACTGTGAAATATTAGAAGAACAGTGGAGTTTTTGTATTTTCTTTTTTTTTTGGGGGGGGGGGGTTACAGCTATAAAATATCATCTAGCTAATATTAGAGTTGACAAGTGATTTGAACAGTGAATACAAAATCATCTTGAATTACGAAACTAAATCTATGTTCCAGATTACCAGTTCCGGTTACAGACCCAATCGAATCTTATATTTGATAAAATGGGGGGTTGGATGGCCGAATGATTAGCACGTGCGTGCTGTATCATAAGGCCTGTCATTGAGTCAACTGGCGTGGTTTCGAATCCCCGGTTGTACGTGATAAGGAGTAGGGTCGCCTGTCCAATCTCGTGGGTTTTCTCCGGGTCCTCCGGTTTCCTCCCACTGTTAAAGACCCCTACGCGCACGGATTATTGAAATAAAATTAAACCATATGTTAGTCCCGAAATGACCTAGTTTGTGTCGAGTGGACGTTAAACCCCATTTCTCCCTCTCTCACTTGATAAAATCTAATGTAATAGGGTTTAACGTCCTATTTTTTGTAGCATGCAGGGCGCTATGAGGGAAATTTTGCCCGGACAGCGGTGCTACGGCATACTTTTATTTCGAGTTCGAACTGTCAAGTTTCTTTTATGTGCCCGTCGCCGTGTACACAAGACCCTGGTTTTTAGCCCTATCCCCACGACTAGACAATTCCTCACTTGCCATGCCCTCCTCCCTGCACCACTGACACGGGAAAACCACGCTGGGCAATTCCGGGGAAACTTTCTCGGCCAGCACTGGAGGTGAACCCCAGATCTCCTAGTTAGTGAATCCTTGATAAAGACAAGAGAATCCTCGTCGAAACGCCGCTCAGTAATAAATGGAAATTGTATTCTATGCGCATAGAGTTGTATCATGTTATGTTTTTTATAAATACCACTGCTTTTAATAGTAGAACGAGGACTAATAGTGATTAGGATTCCTTGTATAAAGACTGTTGCCGTACCCGCAACCCATTCTACGGCTTTGAGATTGTCATTAGATTTTCAGGAATAGATAGTTATCAGTGGGTTAACGATGAGTAATTAGCCCGTGGTGTTAGCGCCATTTGCGATCTAATCGCCGCTGGCCTTCTCTTCTATTATCTTCTTGTTCAATATTTGTTTATTACTAGAATCAGACATTTATGACCGTATCTTGACGACACTCGCTGGAAGCTATTGGGTAATGAACGTGTTGCCACCGACTTTTGATAGTTGGATAAAAGATAGTATAACGAAGAATCTGGTGGCTAGCGTATCTGTCTTACCCTGTGTGTTGGATTTAGATCAAAATAAAGTTTTAGGTAGCAAGTCTGTCATTGAGTTAAGTTGCGTGTTTTCGATTCCCAGCATGTGTCCTCTGCCCCACCCCCAATGCAAAAGACACTTAACGCGAAAGCAAATTATTGAAATAATATTGACCCAGTTTTCATCGAGTGGTTGTTAAACTCTTTTATTGTAGCAGTTACAAAACCTAATCCTCTATACCAGGAGACTTGGATAAAACACGGCGCCCAATATCTGCAAACATCCCTGTGGATTTGAGCAAAACGGATTCAGATTTGAACTCTGGAGGGTCTGGATAGGTGAAATGAATTGCATATACGTGGTGCCAATCGAATGGCTGTTCACGTGTCCAATCCCGATGGTCCTTGTGAAAAATTGGATGACATTTCAAACGTAAACACATCACCTGTAACCTGTCTTCAATATGCAATAACTCTGGGTTTCTCTCAAATATTTGATATGGCAATTGTAGTGCATTGTAATAAAAATCATCGCTTTTATAATTCACAAATGCCTCTTGCCATTTTTGAATAAATTTAGAACGAGGTTTTGCCATGGCGACGCCCAGATTAATCTGCCTTGGAAATGTCACAGTAGCCACCATGTGATCGTAGTTTGCTATGGCAGGAAAACCGGAAGTAAGGAGATCATCGATAGGCTTAAGCCAGATGGCGTCCCAATCGAGATATACACCGCCATATTTGAATAGAATATCTGCTCGAACGATATCACTTCCATGAGTTGAGTACTTAACCTTATGTCCAAATATGGTTCTAGGGGATTCGCGATATACTAGAATAATTTTGGAATTGTTTTTTAATTTTTCCCAGTAGTCCCCGTGAATGTGAAGGTCGCTGTGAATATAGATCTTGTCGGGCTGCACTATGTACAGCGTGCTAATTAAACTAAGATACATCGCATATGTCAGCTTTACAGAATGAAACCATATATAATGCACTATTTTGGGAATGTGTTTCACATATGGCACATCTACATCACAGTTTTCACTGATTACTTGCGTATCATTACTCCTCCTTACAGTTCTTTTACCTGTATACAGATGATACAAATAATTATCTTGACTGTTCTTCGCTGCAAATAAATCTTTAGGCAGTAAACTAGAAATAACTACCATACAATGTGATCGGCTATATTCAAAACTTTTGTTCTTATACTCGTCACAGATGTTCGTTATACTGCTAAAGTTCTTATTGGGATTTACATAACGAAGTGCAGAATCAATTTTAATATAATTCAGATCAGGATGTTGAAGAGTACTAAACACAACTTTGATGTTATTAGTATAGTCGACAATAAGAGAAAATTGGGTGTCCATGTGCAATAATGAATGTTTGGTTAAAACAACACCTGATGACACAAAAACCCCGCCTCTATCACGTAATGCAGCTATTCCATAAGAAGAAGCACATCCGTCGTTCATCATCCAGTAATCTGGCATTTCTTTGACTATTAAGGATGGTATTTTGAGTTTTAATTCATCCAACCAGATATTATACTTGTCTTGAATTATCGCCCCTTTATAATTGATCTCTATAGCATCCGGTTCAAAATTGCGCCATACGCTAATTACACTTAGATAATGGTGAAAAGTAAAAGTATGGTTACGAACACGGCTACAAAAAACGTAGTAAAATATATTGGGGACCTTTCGTCGCTCAAGCTCCAATACATCACGTGGTATGGAATCAGGAAACTTATACTCAGCAAACTTATATTCCAAACTCTGTTTGGTATCAAACCTTTGCACTTTTCCAATAAAGTCGTCAGTAGAACAAAAACTACCAATTAAATATATTTGAAGACATGTGTATAATACAATTCCAATAAGAAGAAGCCAGAGTGTTCCGTATTTTTTCTTCATTTTCACCGAACAAACCTGAAAAAAATATAGCATTAAGCCTTAGGATAATTCTGTCCAATATGGCGGCTATAGAATAGTAGCAGTCCGTATTAAGACTTATTGTCCAACCAAGAAGAAATTGACTTTACTTCTTAACGATAGTTTAAATAAAGTAGCAATACTGCTAATAATTCGGAAGAAAGATCGTCCCCCATCTTTGCATGAGGTAAACGCGTAATGTTACAAATACAGCCATCGACAGTTTATCAACCACATTTCTCAAGTAGAATGGTGTTAATTCTTATATTAAGAGAGAGAGAGAGGGAGAGAGGTAGATGAGAATTTTACTTCCACTCGACATAAACTAGGTCATTTCGGAACTAACACATGGTTCAATTTTACTTCAATAATTCCATTGCGCGTAGGGGTCTTTAGCAGTGGAAGGAAACCGGGGCCTTATTTGATTATTGTATTTTGTAAAGAAGTTGTATATTGTAACGGAGTTTTTGACTGCTCAAATGTCAAAATAAATGCTCATACTTAAAAACACATTATTCAACATTTATAGATTCATTGTTACTATATATGATATACATGCAATAAATCCAGTCATGCAGTAAACCACTAGAAACGTCAACGCTGATTAATTAATCAATGTCTAACGTCATAGGGTCAAAAAGCCGCTTTTATGACCCCTTTACATCTGGTCAGATCTTCATGTATATAGGCCATCGAAAGTATGAAAAAAAAAACGTAACAAAATATAGATCTGTATTTGGACGAATCTGCGTTTCTGAACAAGTTTATAATAAATTAATAATAATAAATTATGAATTTGTAGAGGGCATTATTGCCAGTAATCTGCTCAAGTGCGCTAGTCATATATTTGTTTGAAAATTAATACCTTGAACCGTGACTTAAAAGTGTTCAATGTTTCTATGAGAAGTCTGTTCCATAAAACTACACAACATCTCATACAATCACGATCGGCGTACTTGCTTTGGATGGCACAGTCAAGTGTAGTTAATGGGCTGATAGTAATGTATGTGAAATTTGATAAGAGGAGAACAGGGACCGTTTTTTCAAAACTCCGTTATTTTAACGATCCGTTAAACTCTAACTAGTCGTTATCTTGCTGCTAACGCGTCGTTTGTTAACTGTAGGGAGGTGGATGGCCGAACGGTTAGCGCGTGCGCGCTGTATCATAAGGCCTGTTTTTCAGTCAACTGGCGTGGTTTCGATTCTCCTGTTGTATGTGACAACGAGTAGGGTCGCCTGTCCAACCTCGTGGCATTTCTCCGGGTCCTCCGGTTTCCTCCCACTGCTAAAGACCCCTACGCACAAGCGAGTAATTGAAATAAAATTGAACCACGTGTCAGTCCCGAAATAACCTAGTTTGGACGTTAAACCTCTCCCTCTCTCTCACTCTCTCCCCCCTCTCTCTCTCCCTCGTTAAATTTCTGTTGCTGGAAAGTCATTTTCATTATCTGTTAACTGTTGGCTGAATTTTTAATTTATAAATTCATTGTACACGTGTAACAACTTCATAGAAGTTAGTATTAACAAGAAACTGAAGACTGGGAAAAAAGATAACCGTAGAAATTCCTATAGAAAACACGATAAAATAATGTTATATTTAATATATTGATTTGGACGATAATATATTATACCGTATGGTATAATATGTACATGTATAAATAGTGTTATTGTTACAATGACATTACAACTACACCTGTTGCCAACTATTGTAAAACATTTTATTACATGTTATCGGCCGATGGGAATCGAAGACCTATCAGATTTGTGCTACAATTAAGAGATAAACACTTCCTGTTTCAAATTAAGAAGGGTTTTATGTCACCCCAAAACGTTAAACTGGTGTCAAGGCTATAAATCATATTATTATTTTGATTGTCAGTTTAAATCTCATTGATCCATAATAAGGTGCAAATTTTATGTATTATAATAAAGCTTGTGATCATAGTATCATCATTGTGTATGTTAACGCTTGTTATTATAGGAAAGCCCGGTGGTCAGCGAGTGAGACGTTGGCTCGCCCACCTGGAGGTCCAATGTTCGAGTTTTGGGTTCCCCCCCCCCCCTTGTCAATGGTGCATGACAGAGTGCCTGCCATTCTACAAACAGAGACCGATCTACTTTATTGCTTGAGAATAGATCTCTGCACTAAATGACCGCCATATCCAAATATTAGTATACTGTTTTGTAAAGCGTTTCTACTCCGTTTCACATTTTCCATACACACAAACACTAAATAAACTTTTTTAATTTTATTAAATGGAAGCAGAATAAAAACTCAACAAAATTCCCGAAGTATAATTAGTGTTTTCAACTAAACTCGTCGATTTAGGACTAAATATGTCGGTCAACTAGCTTAGTGGCTGCATGCTCTCAAGCGGAGCTAAGTGTAGACAGACAGCCTAAGTTTAGTATGAGGGCCTGCTGAAGACCCATGCACTCAATCGAATTATTGAAATAAAATGTTGGTCTCGAAATGTTGTGGTTTGTGTCGCGTGGAAGTTAAATCCAATTTTTCTCTCTCTGTGCTACTCCCTGTGTAGGGTCGCGAAATTTATAAAGAAAAGGTTTACTTACCACGTCCTAAAATCTCTGCAAAATTATATCCTAGGGAGTTCGACTATCAAACTTTATTGAATATGCCATATGTTGTAACGAACAAATCTGTTTCATCGGCAAAATTGATCTTCTTATTGATTAGATATTGTACTGGTTTTCATATCTTACCAAGAACATCATTTATTATTGAAATTTGTGTCAAAAATAATCATGTTATGGACTTAATTATCACAATATGTTATCTTTAATTAGACTAGCATGTCTGATATTGGAATTATGTTTCAGTCGATAACACATACTGTATTGTAGTGGAAGGTCTTGGGATTCACTCAACTTTTAAAATATTTATATGTTTTTGATTTTAGTCTAAAAATAAAATTTTATTTGATGTGGTGATATGTTTTGGGGGATGGCAGCTCGTCGTTCAAATTTTTATGGTACTGTGTCGACACAGTAAGCAAAGAATGAAACTAAAAAGTAGTTGCAACTTTGGAAACTGAAGTTTAGTTATATCCGTTAAGAGCTTGTCCTATCACTAATCAGATCAGATAATCCCAATTCTATACTTTATTTTGATATTTGTGAATGTGAATTTAGACCCTGGGTTGACATGTCTCAGTTGCTTTAGGCTCATTGGTGACATTTCTCGGTAGCTTTCATCTTCATTGAATTAGAATCCGGGTTGACATGTCTCGGTTGCTTTAGGCAAATTAGACTTTGGGTTGACATGTCTCGACTGCTTTATTAGACGCATTGGTGACATGCTTCGGTTGCTTTAGGTGCATTACACGTTGGGTGACATGTCTCGGTTGCTTTAAGTGAATTAGACTTTGGGTTGACATGTCTCGTTTGGTGTAGTTGAATTAGACTTTGGGTTGACATTTCTCGTTCGGTTTAGTTGAATTAGACTTTTTGTTGACATGTCTCGGTTGATTTAGTTGAATTAAACTTAGGGTTGACATGTCTCGGTTGGTTTAGCTGAATTTGACTTTGGGTTGACATGTTTCTGTTGATTTAGTTGAATTAAACTTTGGGTTGACACGTCTCGGTTGGTTTAGTTGAATTAGACTTTGGGCGGACATGTGTCGGATGTTTTAGTTGAATTAGGTTTTGGGTTGACGTGTCTCGGTTGGTTTAGTTGATGTTATGACAACCTTTCCATGAAAATTAAATCAGATTTTCCTAAATGTATTCTTGGCACGTGCAGAAAAGGTAAAGTTGAACCCAACAAACATGGGATGGGATGCTGATTAGGACTAATTAGCACGAACAAATAAGATAGACATGTCGGGTTTTAATAATACATCACCTATCAAACATTCTGTCTCATCTATTCAAAACACAACATCAATGGTTCAGAGCATGTATAGAAATCTCAGATCATAGAGATCAAAAACAAGTATACAAATGTAACCGCTGTTGTTTTTTTGTTGTTTTTTTTATATATATATATATAGTTTTATTTCGTAATATTTTATGTTTATGCGTACGGTAATTTTAACTTCCTCCAGTAGAAATAAAATGGGGTTTATCGTCCTACTTTCTGCACTGACTTATCGGGGATATTTCTCCCGGGCAGCGATACTACGGCCTACTCTTATTTCTAATTCCAACTGCGAAGGGGTGTTTTAGGTACACCCCAATGTGTACACGGGACTTCGTTTTTTCGTCCCATCCGAACGGTTAGACACTGTTCCTTGCCAGACCCTCCGCCATGTAACACTGACATGGTGAAACCACGTCGAGAGGTCTCAAGGAACTTCCTCAGCCAACACAGGGAGTGAACCCGGGACCTGATGTGCCACCGTGGTTCCCTCCTCTAATAAAGTCACTTACAAAGAGTAAACGATCAGCATGTTTTGAAACTATTTTAATGCTAGATAATAAATAGAAGTTAATTTAAAACACAGTTTTTAAATATAATAATTTTAATAAATTCAAAGAAACACCGGTCAGTAAAGTTGACTTTACAATCAAAGTGATTAGAAATTAAATTTAAAGTCTTCTTCCGGGTTTTGTAACCATTAAATGGGTGTGAGATAAAATCTAAATAATGACATGGATTCCCGAATAACAGAAATGTCCTCTCCAATGAATGTTTATTCACATAACTAATTGTTTCGATTAATGTAAATGAAATGAAAACAAACAATAACACTATAAGGATTGCGATCATCTCGTGTCTGATTTTTTTTACAACCCATTATTCGAAAATATTCGATAGTGCAATTCAATATCAATGGATTAATTGTGCACCGTATAATTCAAACCTATTCAAACAGACGATTCAATATCAATGAAATACTTCTCAACCCAATCAAAAGGGGGATTCGATTCGTAAATATACAAACGGGAGATTCAATATCAATGAAATGTGTTTCTTAGGGTTTATCTGAATAACAAAAGAATATATTACAAAATACGAAAAAGAATTTGAAATTAATAAACATCGCCTCAATAATGATATGTCATAAATTATGCTATTCAATTTGCGGGAACTTGTTTTGAAATTATGTCGATTTGCCTGTGAGCACGAAGACAGACTTACTTCCTTAGTCCCCACTTCCTGGCTTTTCCGGTGGCAACGTATAGGACGTTGGTTCTCCTGGAGGTTTTTGTAATTAGTTATGACTTTGGAGGCGAACGGACCAGGAAGTAAACGATTACAGAAATCACATACATAAATGACGTCACAGGCTATAGGTTCATTTATACAGTCGTAGCAAAAAATCGAGATGGTCAACCCCAGTCAGCATTGGGCTCTTTGGGGTTATAAATTATAAAAGAGCAAGATCATCAGAATGTTCAATACCATGACATAAATTTAACATTGAAGTCAATGGCAGTGGATTACTAGTCGGAGACCGTAACCAATGAAGACATGAGGTTTTATCATCGCCATAATTCTGTGTTGGTAACAGAGTTGACATTGACCATACATCATCCTTGTTTTATATACACTGGTGTAACACACTACTGTCAGCTGAAATCACAAATGGGTGGGGGGCCTCGCACTTTATGCGTTTACCAATAATCTATCCGACATGATGCTCAAGTCCTAATTTATTGTCGGATTTTAAACAGATAAGTTTTGACAAAGATCAACCACACACTATAATTTATCGTCAGAAAAAAGTTAACACTTAATCCTCTATTAATGACAGATCAGTGTTTGATATATAGGTTCTTAATTAAAGGGTTCGCTGCGCAAAAGGGGATTTCGTTTCACAGTTATTAGCTGCTTAGATCGAAATTGCGCGATTTCGTCACAGATTGTCGAGCACTGTATTATAAAGAGATAGGAAATTGTGTTTATCAGGTTTAAAATAACTTTTTTAACGGGCAATTCTAAAGCGGCTGCCCATCCCACAAATTGTCTATCTGCACAAAATTACCCGTCATTCCCGCGTCTCTTCGTTCCGTAATCCACGTGTCATTATCCTCACTTGACGACTCTTTGTGAGATTCTGTGGCCAGCTGTAGAAAGGGACACAAAATAAAGATGGCGACTGCTATAATTAAGATGGCGATGAGTAAAACTGGGCGACGAAATACACGGTGGTTGGTACTGGTATCCTTCAGTAGATCATCTTTTACTTCCATCTCCAAGCAATCATCAACCTGCAAAATTTAACAGACAAAATAATCAATATCATAATATTTATTCCACAAATTGCTTAGGTCTTGCGGTATTAAGAAGCTGGGTCTTATTTAGAGAGGTTTGCGTTAATGGATCAGTAGGGTGTGTGAGTAGGGTGTGTGGGGAGTAGGGTGTGTGTGTGTGGGGGGGGGGGGTCCCTGATGCGACTTCTAGTGTGGGCCGACAAAACCCCTCAGGATTTTTCAAGTCCTTTTGTCCTTTTTTTTTTGGGGGGGGGGGATATAAAGTCTGACCACATGGGTATTTTTCGGAAGATGGTTTGTATCACACGATATTCACTTATAGTTTAGTTAAACTTGTATTTACGTGGTGTCATTCATTACAAAATGTCCTTAAAATTGAAACCTAAAGAATATATTAAACATATATTATGCAAGAGCTAAATCTGTCTATTACAGGTCTTTCTTTAGGCCTGAAATGTTATCTAAATCATTAATTAGACATTAATTAACCTATCCAGGCCATAATCAACACTAGCTGGCAGCGCTAGCCTGCGATCTTTAGTGGATTGTGAGCCGATTTACTGCATAACTTTCCTTCTCGATTGGATAATCGAGACTATGCTGTTTATTGTACTGACTTTAGTAATGATGACCGAGGCTAGGGGGAAATTTCAGTCGCTTAGTTCTCGATTCATAGTGGATCAATTTGAATGAAATTTTCAGCAAATTACCTTTACATTATCTAGTTTTTAACTATTATAGTGAGAACTGCCAACTCGATACCTAATCTCCCATATCTTTAATACATATCAATGTGGTCACATTGATACCTAGAAGGGTTGTTTTAGCGCAATAGAAATAATACATCTGGTTTAACATTACTCAAGAGGTTTAGCCCCTTTAAAGATTCTCGTCTTTATTAGTCCAATCGGTGCAGAATGTTAAAGCCATTTCATTCCCTATAAATCAACAAAGATCAGTGGTATTTTTAACAAGAATATTGATTGAGTGTAATAGTGACACTAGTTGTGTGTAGTAATCTAACATTATTATATATTTAATTGTCTAAACTAGACTTTTCGCTCTGTTTCCTTCGTTTACTGGAATCTTAATTTTACTGCTTGAGTTCTTGGCGTTAATTAACTCATGTAATCTAATTTCTCTCGTGACATTAATCTTTGACTATATTAGATGTTGTAAATTAGAGACACGGTTGTAAACCCCAAATAAAACATCTGATACACGGGCAAACATCCAAAACCAACCAGATTATTTTTATCTTCTTTACCAACCGTTCCTGGAATGTTGACAGTCAATGGGGTTTTTTTAAATACGGTTTGTGGTCTGTGTTAACTTGAACTTTTCAATTGTGGCGGGGGGTGGGGTGGATGGCCAAATGGTTAGCACGTGCGCGCGCTGTATCATAAGGTCTGTCATTGAGTCAACTGGGCATGTGCACGCTGTATCACGAGGCCTGCCATTGAGTCAACTGGCGTGGTTTCGAATCCCCGGTTGTACTTGACAAGGAGTAGGGTTGCCTGTCCAACCTCGTGGGTTTTCTCCGGGTCCTCCGGTTTCCTCCCACTGCTAAAGACCCCTACGCGCAAGCGAATTTTTTAAATAAAATTGAACCATGTGTTAGTCCCGAAATTATATACTTTGTGTCGAGTGGACATTAAACCCCATTTCTCTCTCTCTCTCTCTGAGTCAACTGGCGTGGTTTCGAATCCCCGGTTGTACGTGACAAGGAGTAGGGTTGTCTGTCCAACCTCGGTTTCCTCCAACTGCTATAGACCCCAACGCGCAAGCGAATTATTGAAATAAAATTAAACCATATGTTAGTCCCGAAATGACCTAGTCTGTGTCGAATGGACGTTAAACCCCATTTCTCTCTCTCTCTCTTTCAATTGTGGTTTGCGATATTGAAAAAATAAATTATATCGTAAATAAAACATCTGATAAATGCTCATACATCCAAAGCCAGTCTGATTTGTCATCTTCGGTATCAGCCGTTCCTGTAATGTTGACTCAATATTATTTTTATTTTAATGATTATTCTGCGTTATCTTCAACTTTTCAATTGTGGTTTGCGATATATTTTTTTAAAGTTTTATCGTAAATACAGCTCAGAAATGTCATATACGTTGTTCAAAATCAGAAATGAAATGCAATGGGGTTTAATCTCTTACTTTTCTGCACCAACTAGGTTAATGAAGATGGGCCAAAAATAAGTGATAAGCACGTGCTTACATGCCAACAGAAACGGCCGGTTATAGTGATTATTTTTAACAATAAGATTAGTGACTGTGATTCCAGGAATTAATCCGATTATTCGTGTGCTTATTTCTTCTGACTTCTCTTAATAAGACATCATAAACAAGTATATACAAGTCGAATGACTGAATAAAAACGAGACAGAAATTCACATACCCGCCTTTACATTCGCCTTCGGTAAAAATAGTTTTATATATTTCTACATATTACATTTATAAAAAAAAAGTACAACAAACATTCGAAGCCATTTGGTCATTTTCCGGTTATTTCAACAGAAATAAAATTTCAAACTATCATGAAAGGGTAATCTTGACAAGGAAGGTAAAATCTGGTTAATCGGACGAACGATATTTGCTTTGTCAAACTGTCAAATAAAATGTGGTGACGTGTATACCCAATCCTCACTCTGATTAGTGACGAGGCACTAATAAACACACCTTCAATAGAAGGTTTGATCTCACCTTGATGATGAGTTAGTTGTATTTTACGTCCGCTTCCACCGAGGTGATATCGCAGACAAGATCTCACCTTAACTACGTACATCTTATAAAGCCCTTCACGTAATACCCCGCATATTTTAGCATTCATTTCGATTGGGTATAAGCCCAGCTTGTGATCCTATCAGAATCCTTCGTTAAAAATATCGTTACGATTATCAAGTCTCGCGCTTCTAGCTAAAATGTCTACAAGTGACAATCGAGTTGCAAAGTTCAAGGTTCGATCAATGTCAAGGTTGCTGGAAATCATGGCTGATCAACAAAGGCTGTAAACTTGTCTATTTCTTTTTCTATGGAGGCCGCCATACTTGTTTACAGTGTGTTATGTGCCACTACCTCTGATTTGACAATGCTAATTAGTCACGTGTAAACACAACTAGCGCAAAAGTTCGGGAATTGTTGAGTATTGGAGCAACGGCTAGATGTTGTACATGTAATATACAGCGTGATGATTTTGAATCGTTTTCACGGTTTGGCTCGGTTCCTTGTTTACGAGGATTAATATTTGTCATGTAGTTTCTCAGTTTGTCTTTGTCTATATTAAGCTTTTGTTATAACAACGCAACTATTTATTATTCATATAAAACTTTGATTTTATATGTCTTATTTATTTACACATATTTCTTGTTTTACTTATAGGCCTACTTGGGTCTGATGAGTAGTCTGAAATGAAATTGGGTTCAAAGCCCTACTTTTCTACACCGATTGGGCCAATAAAGAAGGGGATATTCCATACAGTGTTCTATGAGGGAAATGTTGCCCGGACAGCGGCACTACAGCCTAATCTTATATCGAATTCCAACTGTCAAAGGTTCTTTTACGTGCAAGCCAATGTGAACGACTAGACACTGTTTATGCCAGGCCCTGCGTCCTGCTAGGCTGACAAGGGATAACCGTGCCGGAAAATCCGGGTGAACTTTTTCGGCCAACGCACCGGACCCCCGTTTCCTGGGTAGCGAGCCAGCGTCTTACCCACTGAGCAACCGCGACTCCCCGATAAATAATGTATTATCTATATATCATTTTAATGCCACGGTTAATTTCCTTTATGTATGCAACTAATAAATAAGACACCAAACAGAACCGGGTACCGAGTTAAGCCGCTACACCGAATTTCAGAAGCCAAAGTTTTTTTCTTAAAAGAAAACTATCAATTCCCAATCATAAATACGCCTGTCTGCTCAAGTTATCCTAATTTCGCTTTCAACAAGATGCATCTAGGAATTTCCTGTATTCATTCCCCGGAGCAACAAGTTCCATAAATGATAAAAACCTTAATAATTGCACAACTCTATACAGATGAATAGAAAGATCTTATCGTAACCCCGCATCGTTCATCACAGACACAGTTTAATAGCGCAACTAATAAAACATATTGATTCAAATTCTCTTTCAACTTTCTTTCTCTACAAATCATATTTTACAAACTATATTGAAATTCAAATCACGGTTCCTAGCAAATTACATTTGTCTGTAGAATGTTCACCACATTCAATGAAACTTCTTGACTTTTTACAAGCGGCTTAGATTCAATTTTATCGCACAGAAAGCAAAGTGGCGATATATAGCATTCTCTAAGTAGGCAAGTTATTTTGTTGTGAATGGCCATGTTGTTTCCACCGATACAGAGGAAAAAAGATTCATTCTGAAATGTATTACATTACATTCTTTATTGCTTTTATTAAATAAACTATTGCTTCACGAATATGACGGGGGATTTGAGTCAAAAGTCAGTGCTATGTTGTTAGTGCTATTACATGTCCAATGTTGCAAATGTTGAATGTAATGTGTAAATTGAAGGACGTCAAATTTAACAAAATATTGTAATACTGACAAATACATCGTGTAAATTGACATCTACGTTTTGTCAGATCTTTAAACACTGAACTCTCACATCTTCTCATATGACACGCGGACTATGTATTGTACCGTTCAACCTTTCACATTTACATCGTAACACAGAACTCACGACATGAAATTGGCCAGTATGCAAATTTTTTAATCACGTGACATCTCGCGTGAAGAAAACATAATTTTCAAGCAGGGAATTCCCCCCGGCATGAGACCTGCAACCGGGTGTTGATTTCATGATTTTTTTTCTACATAAAGAAGGAAAAGTAAAATACCTCGGCTTCCGCATATAACACAAGAGATTGTTCGTAGAATTCATAGACTTTCCTACGAATAATTTTACTCTGAAGTCGCCAGGGTTTTGTGTGAACGTGTGCGACAGTCCATGAGCAATGT